GCAAGACGTACCTGAAGTCTTGCATGTTTATGAGACAAAAAAAGAGACCAGCATTCCTACCATTGTGTAAAACAATTACAGGCTTCCATTTCACACTCACTTGGCAGGACGGTAATACCTTCCTGGGCAGTTGCTGTCTACCAATCTACTACCTAAGCCTACACATACATGTACAAGCATATACGTACATACACCCCTCTGGGTTTCTTCGATTTTCTTACAAGTTTTTGTTTGTTTCGTTTTATCTCCATGGGGAAGTGGAACAGAATTCTTCCTCCATAAGTCATGCGTGTTGTAAGAGGCGACTAAAATGCCGGGAGCAAGAGGCTAGTAACTCCTTCTTTATACAATACTAAGTTTAAAAAGAGAAACTTTTGTTTTTCTTTTTTGGGCCACCCTGCCTTGGTGAGATATGGCCGATTTGTTGAAAAAAAAGTTATTATTTATTAATATTGGCATGCTTAGGTGGGCCTCAGCCAACCAGCAATGTGGTAGCTTGCCTCTTGGATAATATTTGAGTCAATAGGAGTGTCAGTTCTTGTTTGGGTGGGCCTTAGCCAACCACTGGTGTGGTGGATTCTTGGACAACCTCTGGGCCAGTAGGAGTGGGGGTCTGTGAGGGTGGCTTAGCAGCCAGTCAGCAATGAGGTTAAATGTCTCTCTGGTTGTATCTCAGCCAGTAGCAGAGTTTGTTCTGTACTACAGCTTGTTAGCTAGCCTGAGCTGGCCTGGGCTGGGCTTGGCTGGTTTGACAATTGAGTTATGGATGAGTGGAACAGACTGCTTAGTAGCACCACTGAAGTAAGAACTTTGGGTAGCTTTACAAGTAGGTTTGACGGGTACTTGAATGGGTGTGGGTTTAACCCTTTCAGTGGCTATTGCGTAGAACTGTCATTGAGGTCTGGGTCTCTCAGTCAGTTCTATGTCATGATGGCAGCTTGGTCAAATTAGCTGTGAGTGGCAAATTTGGGCCTAGATTTGAGAGAATGGGTCTGTGTGGCAAGTACACACATTACAAAAAAAAAAAAAGTCCTGCCCCACACGGTGTATGATAGGAAAAGCAAAACTCTTGACTGTCTGAATGGTTTAAAATAGCAAATTTGAGGTGCTGTCTCAGATGATTTTTATGGTTTTATGGTCTGTTATTTGGTATTTGGTAGCATGGAAGACACTGCTTCAGAAAAGGAAGTATCTTGAAATTTCCTGAGAATTTTTAAGGTCCCCCTACACCCCCGGAATGCTTTGCGTGTTTTTACTAGTTTTGATTTAGTTATTGGGATGCTGTAAACCATGACCAATCATTCTTTCTTATATTTTCTTATCCAAGAGAGTAAATCTAATTTTGTGTGATTATGGATTCAAAATGGAAGGCAAGTGTAATGTAGGAGAGGTCTGGGGACATGAATAATTAGCAGGGGAAATATTGTATTAGTGCCAGGAATGTTTACCTGGAGAGGGTTCCGTAGGTCAACACCCCCATGGCTCAGTCTGGATCAGGGTCTGATCAACCAGGCTGTTACTGCTGGTCACATGCAAACTGACGTACAAACCACAGCTCGGTTGATCAGGTGCTGACTTTAGGTGAGTGTCCAGTGCCTTCTTGAAGACAGCCCTTATGTATGCTGGGAGGCTGTTGAACAGTCTTAGGCCCCGGACACTTATTGTGTTGTCTCTCAGTGTACTCGTAGCACCCCTACTTTTCCGCAGGGGAATGATCTATCTCCTGCCGAGTCTTTTGCTTTCATAGGGAGTGATTTTTGTATGCAGGTTTGGTACCAATCCCTCCAGGACCTTCCAAGTGTATATTATCATGTATCTCTCTTGCCTGCATTCCGGGGAATACAGATCAAGGACCTTCAACCATTCCCAGTAATTTAGGTGCCTAATCATACTTGAGTGTGCTGTGAAAGTTCTTTGTACCCTCTCCAAGTCTGCAATGTCGCCAGCCTTGAAGGGGGTCGTTAGTGTACAGCACTATTCCAGCCTAGAGAGAACAAGTGATTTGAAGAAATCATCACTGCCTTGGCATCCCTAGTTTTGAAGGTTCTCATTATCCTATAATTTTCCTAGCCAATGAGGTAGATACATTGTTGTGGTCTTTGAAGACGAGATCCTCTGACATTATTACTCCCAGGTCCTTCACATTTGTTTTTTGCTCTATTGTATGGTTAGAATTTGTTGTATACCCTGATACATTTTTAATTTCCTCAAGTTTTCCATATCCGAGTAGTTGAAATTTCTCCTTGTTGAACTTCATATTGTTTTGAGTGGCCCATTTGAAGATTTGGTTGATGTCCGCTTGGAGTCTCGCAGTGTCTTCGATGGAGGTCACTGCCATAGCAATCCAGGTGTCATCTGCAAAGGAAGACACTGAGCTATGGCTTACATCTCTGTCTATGTCAGAAATGAGAATGAGGAATAGAATGGGAGCAAGTACTGTGCCTTGTGGAATAGAGCTTTTCACCGTAGCTGCCTCAGACTTTACTCTGTTTACTATTACTCTTTGTGTTATATTTGTCAGGAAGTTATAGATCTATCTACCAACTTATCCTGTTATTCCTTTATCATGCATTTTGTGTGCTATTACACCATGGTCACACTTGTCGAAGGCTTTTGCAAAGTCCGTGTGCATTTTTTTTTTAATTTTAGGCTGTATAGTTAAATTAGTGTTTTTTAATTTTGTGTAAAATTGGCCAAATTTCCAACTTTCTTGCACTATAAAGTGGTTTCTTGTGCTTATTCATTAGAACAGAAGGCATACTTGCAAAATAGCTAAGATTTTGGTTGAATGGAACTGTAGGACTCAATTGGGCAATATTGTTGATGCCTAAATTGTGCTGAAGCCACTAGGTTTTGTGCCTGCATAATTCTGTAACTTTTCCATTAAATTTTGTACTTTGGTGTCATTACCTTTATAGAAAGATTCTCTACCATTTCAGAAGATTTAAAAAAAAAATGTGGACACAGAGCAGTATTAATTTCAGGGGTCTGGGCAGTGAAATAGTTAACCTACCTAGCATGGGCCAGAAGGCCTACAGCAGTGCTTCTTAATTCTTATGTTCTTACATGTGGATGACAGTGTGGTCATTATCCCTAGACATTTCAGCTGTCTTTGATTCAAGGATGCTCTCGATTCCATGGAATTTGTATAGAGTTCACTCTGGTGGAGTAAAACGATGACTTTCTTGATGTTTTTTCTCATTAAGGAAGGTAAGACACTCGTACACAAGGTGTACTAGAAGACCACTAATAGAAATGATCTAGATCATTACTTTTCCCGTCACTACACCAAAAACAAGAAATGGTGTTATATAGGATTTTACCTCGCACCCTTTGGAATCTGGGATAATGAATACTGGGCAGATGATCAGAAATATGTCGAGGATGCTTTCACTGCCCCACTCCATGGGGAAAAGAATCCATTCTCTGTAAGCCATGCGTGTTGTAAGAGGGGGACTAAAATACCGGGAGCAAGGGGGCCAGTAGCTCTCTCTCCTATATACATTACCTCATGTAGTAATTAGAACTTTCGTTTTTTCTTTTGGGTCACCCTGCTTCAGTGGAAGATGGTTAATGCGTTGAAAAAAAAAACTCATTCATACCACAAAAGGAAGGTCCCATGAATTCACATCACTCATGGTAAATGCCCCACATCAACGATGTCTTGTTCTCTCCCACAGGACAAGTAGCTGTGTCCATCATCCACCTTGTTTTGTGAGGCTAACATGGAAGTGGTTGTTTGTTCTAAATAACTAACAGAGAGATCTGAAAGTCTCAGTGATACAGAAGCACCACTAACACAGGCAGCTACAACATTCCATGTGGGAAACTACAGTAAATCTTAAATTAGTGAGGCAAGGTATAACCTGGGAATTCCCCTTCAAGAAAAATGCAAGTGTAAGGTGGATAATAACAGCAGTGTGTATTGTAGGATACATTACCAAGTCTTGAACTAGAGAACCATGCAGCAGTTACTTCATGAGGACAACAGAATCAGACTCGGGATCCTACAGGCAGCATCAGGACAATTGAACAAAACAACAGTGGATGCACTTACTGGCTGGATCCATTGCTTCAGAGTTATATAAACCCTTACAGGTTTAGGGCTTGGTTTTGATTATAATAATAATGGTCCCATTGCTCAGATTGCCCATAATTCCTATATTAAGTGCTAGCCATTTCTGGCCTCCCACTTTGTCTACCTGACCTCACCACCTTGACCTTGACTCTTACCTCGCCCCTGGATCTTTCCTTGCATATCTCCTGTGACCTCTCCAACTTGACTTCAGGGTGCTGTTTGCCTTATAAGGCAGTGCTTGTGTGGTTTCCTGTACACAGTGCTTGATAAAACAAAGCCCTGGACAAAATGTTATAGAAGAAATTAGGATTTCTTTAGTTCAAACCTGACTACCGCCGATTACGATGCCTGATCTCCGAGTTTGGTGCTTCCCCCATGAATATACAGTAGAACCCCATATCTACTGATTCAGTATCTGTGGTTTTAGTTATCCACGGTTCCGGTGGCCCAAAAATACCTCTTAATTTTGCATAATAATGGCACCAAAGTACAAAAGTAGAGAAGCTGGCAGTTCTTAAAAGCCTCAGAGAAGCTGTAAGTGCTTCTTATCAGTGAAAAAAGTGATAATTCTCCACTTACTGTGCATAATTTATCAAACAAACTATATAATAGGTATATACATGTATAGGACTTATATATAAGGTTTGCTACTATCTCTGGTTTTGGTATCCATGGCAGGTCCTTGAATGTATCCCCTGCGGATATGGGGGTCCTGCTGTAATAGTGATTAAAAATATATTTGTGGCTAAAATGTAATTATGTATGTATTTGTAATTGCTTCTTTGTATTTACAGTAGTAAACATTTTAATAGCTAGAGCAGCTGAGCTTGTGGCATTTCATCTTCAGTAATTATTTTATAATGTAATTATTAATATGTTTTCCCATGTTGATATGTTAATGTTGTTGTTGTTGTTGTTGTAGGGGGGAGGACAACGTGATGGGCATCACCATGTGTTTTCCGGGAGATGAACCACATAGTGCTGGTCATGCCATATTCCCACATCACACATTTCCTGTGAGTCACACCTCATTTTCTTACTTAATATGATGTACATTCATTTTAATTCATTCTTTTTGTTTTTGGTTTTACTGTACTGTTTCCTGTTTTAAAGTTATGTTAGTGAAATTTATCTCTTGAAAAGTTTTTTGCTTTTCACCAGAATTTTTCTTAATTTATTTACAGTATTTTCTTGCTCTCACTGTTCCTCTCCTTCTCCTCCTCCTCTCTTTACCCTCACATTTGCAATCACATTCTCATCCACTCAACACTTACATTCTCATTTTGACATTCTTTCACACTCATACTCACACTTTCACTCTGTACAGAGCTCACTATTCACATGAGCTGGTTGTTTTAGGAATATGTTGGTTGTTTAAGTACCAATGAGCTGCAAGATTACTTGATCAACTTACTGAGAGCGTTACGTCGGGTACACAGCTACAACATTATTCACAGAGACGTCAAGCCTGCTAACTTCCTCTACAACAGGAAGCACCGAAGGTACGTCAGCCTCACTCTCCATTATTTTTATTATTATGCTTATTATTAGTACTAGTAGTATGATGGGATACAGGGAAACTGGCAGGCTAGATTTGAGTCCTGGAGATGAGAAGTACAGTGCCTACACTCTGAAGAAGGGGTATTAATGTTGCAGTTTTATAACTGTAGTGTAATCATACATCTGACAAGACAGTGTTGGAGTGAATGATGATGAATTTTTTTTTTTTTTTTTTGGGGGGGGGGCCACCCTACCTTGGTGAGAAACGGCTGATGTATTTTAAAAAAAAATATTATTATTATTATTATTATTCTATTCTGCTTTACTAGTAAAATTAAGTTGTCTTCCTGGTTTTTCACTTTGAAAACATGTAGTGTTGTTGGTTTTCTCATTTAGAAAAAGTTGTATTCTTGGTTTTTGAGGTTTGGGAAACAAGTTGTATTATTTTTTTTAAATTAAAAGTGTGTTTTTTTTATACAGTGACCCTCCGTTTTCGTCGATCTCGTTATCACCGATTTTCGGTTTTGGCCGACATTTTTTCGTTGACTTTTGGCTTCCATTTTTGCCGATTACTTCTGTTTTTTGTCAATCGTACAGAACGCTGTTCAGTGCCCAGTATGCAGACAAAGCCGCCTCCCACACATTCACATTGAGTGAACATATCCTGCCAGGTCATACGAAACATTTCATAATAATCCATTGTTTTGGGCACTTGTTTATTGTTTGTGACTGCTTAATAAGTCACCATGGGCCCAAAGAAAGCTTCTAGTGCCAGCCCTTCGGTAAAGAATGTGAGAAACACAATATAATTCAAGAAAAAAATTGTAGAAAAATACAAAAGTGGTGGTAGTAGAGGGTGGTAGTAATGGTGGTAGAGGGTGGCAGTGATGGTGGTAGAGAGTGGTAGTGGTTGTGATGGTGGTAGAGGGTGCCTTCTTCAGTGATTCAGCGATTCTGCTAACTCCTCCAGTGTTTTATAGGGCTACAGATAATACTGCTGCCTCAGCTGCAGCCTTCACCACCATTATGAACGGCTTATTCTCTCAGTGGTCCTTATACACCCAACAACACCAACACAACACCACTGGGACATACATAATGACTTATTTCATTCTAGAGTATATGTCATGTTTCTCTGTTATTAATATTGTTTATTATATCATATTACTTGAATTGTGATAGATAAATAAGCCGTAGAGTTGATATTAGTGTCATATTCTCCAACAATAAACTTGCCTTCCCTCCCTCTGCCATACACCAACACGAGTCTTTAACCCTTTGAGGGTCGACAGGCCCTCTCCGAAACTCGTTCTCAGGGTCGGCCAAATTTAAAAAAAAAAAAAATTATTTTCTCTTATGAAAAGATAGAGAATCTTTTCCCGATCATAAAGACACGAAAAGTTTGAAATTTGATAGAAAACTTACGGAATTATGCTCTCGCAAAGTTAGCGGTCTCGGCGATGTTTATGCATCGGCGATTTTGCCCACTTTGAGCCCCATTTTCGGCCAATTTCACTGTACTAGTCGACAAAAAACATGAATATTTCGCTAGAACTCCATTTTTTCTATCGAATGGGTGCAAGAAACCACCCATTTATGAAATTCAACTATCAGTACAGTGGTCAGAATTTAGCAATTTTGCCAATTTCACACAAATTTCAAAGATGGGCCAATTTCCGAATAGGGTCCAGAATAAACAAGAAAGACATTCCTGGCACTAAAATGACATTTCCTCTAGTCATTAGTCACGTCTCAAGGCCCCTCTTATATTCTTTTGCTTTCCACTTTGAATTTTTATTTTCACAAAAAATATAAGATTTGCTGTTATGCAGACTACTGAATTAGTGTAAAAAATGGTATAAATATTATTGGTGCACTTGTGAAAGAATATTAGACACACCAGTTGACGTGTATTGCACGCTTGGCACGATTTGTTTACTTTTGAAAATTTGGTAAAAATCGAACATTTCTGCTACTTTGAGCTCAATTTCAAGGCACCTTTCATTGTAAAACCAGTCAAAATCATCTCAATTTCTGTAATATGTCTTCCATTCTATAAAATGAGACCAAGAAAACTAGAATACAACAATAAATACCATACGAAAATACACTGCAAAATCGCTGATTTATTCCAAAAAAATGGTCGAAGTTTTTTTTTTCTCATTATGCACTGTGTGCTGCAGGATTTTTTTTAGACTGTGCACACTGACCACATAGACCCATTCTTTCATATGAAGGCCTACCAGCTTTCTCCCACTAGATTTGAGGCCGCTAGAATTTATGAGTACTAGTACGTCAAAAACCCCTACGCATAAGACGTACTAGTACGACCAAAACCCTCAAAGGGTTAATAAAGGTAGGTATGGAAGAAATGAATGTTTTCAGATACAGTGGACCCCCGGTTAACGAACTTTTTTCATTCCAGTAGTATGTTCAGGTGCCAGTACTGACCGAATTTTTTCGCATAAGGAATATTGTGAAGTAGATTAGTCCATTTCAGACCCCCAAACATACACGTACAAACGCACTTACATAAATACACTTACATAATTGGTCGCATTTGGAGGTGATCGTTAAGCGGGGGTCTACTGTACTTGGGAGTTGACGTGTCGGCGGATGGGTTTATGAAGGATGAGGTTAATCATAGAATTGATGAGGGGAAAAAAGGTGAGTGGTGCGTTGAGGTATATGTGGAGTCAAAAAACGTTATGTATGGAGGCAAAGAAGGGAATGTATGAAAGTATAGTAGTACCAACACTCTTACATGGATGTGAAGCTTGGGTGGTAAATGCAGCAGCGAGGAGACGGTTGGAGGCAGTGGAGATGTCCTGTCTAAGGGCAATGTGTGGTGTAAATATTGTGCAGAAAATTCGGAGTGTGGAAATTAGGAGAAGGTGTGGAGTTAATAAAAGCATTAGTCAGAGGGCAGAAGAGGGGTTGTTGAGGTGGTTTCGTCATTTAGAGAGAATAGATCAAAGTAGAATGACATGGAAAGCATATAAATCGATAGGGGAAGGAAGGAGGAGTAGGGGTCGATCTCGAAAGGGTTGGAAAGAGGGGGTAAAGGAGGTTTTGTGGGCAAGGGGCTTGGACTTCCAGCAAGCGTGCATGAGCGTGTTAGATAGGAGTGAATGGAGACGAATGATACTTGGGACCTTACGATCTGTTGGAGTGTGAACAGGGTAATATTTAGTGAAGGAATTCAGGGAAACCGGTTATTTTCATATAGTCGGACTTGAGTCCTGGAAATGGGAAGTACAATGCCTGCACTTTAAAGGAGGGGTTTGGGATATTGGCAGTTTGGAGGGATATGTTGTGTATCTTTATACGTATATGCTTCTAAACTGTTGTATTCTGAGCGCCTCTGCAAAAACAGTGATAATGTGTGAGTGTGGTGAAGGTGTTGAATGATGATGAAAGTATTTTCTTTTTGGGGATTTTCTTTCTTTTTTGGGTCACCCTGCCTCGGTGGGAGACGGCCAACTTGTTGGAAAAAAAAAAATGATTTTAAATGTTCATTTATGCATTTTATTAGTGCTTTATATTTATTTGTCATTCTTTTCTGCATGTAAATCTATATTTAAGCTAGGGAAGTGGCTAGGGAATGACCCCTGATAAGGACTTTGTACCTAGAGTCCTTATGGAGTGGGATTCTCCTTCCAAACAATAACCTCTCTTACCTCTCCCCGCCTCCCTGTCTTCCATCCATCAACAACAGCCTTCAATGAAGGTAAGTGTCATGTTGAATGTTCATTCTTTTATGCATGTAAATCTATCTTTAAGATAAAAAAAAATTCTTGTTGATACTTCTGGGTGTCTGGAACGAATTAATTAGATTTACATTACTTCTTAGGGGAAAATGGTTTCAGTTTTGGCCGATCGCTCTGGAACAGATTAAACACGAAAACCGAGGGTCCACTGTATATACATGTACTTGATATCCTGCTGAAAAAATAGCATCTCATATCATGTCGGTCATCTTAGTCTCTGTGATGGCTACGATGTCTGGATTTATCTCAGCTGTTCATTCCTTCAGCTCATTACTCTTGTTGGATAACCCGTCTGTGTTGGTGTACCACACTCTTATCTTGCCTTCCCTTAATCCTTTCAGGGTTGATGTCGTACTAGTACGGCTTGCGTGCCAGGGTTGGTGCTGTACTAGTACGCATAAATTCTAGCGGCTTCAAATTAAGCGGGAAACAGCTGGTAGGCCTAGGTGTGAGAGAATGGGTGTGCGCGGTAGAAAAAAATTCTGGGACCCCGTGGCGCATTGTGGGAACACCATTTTAGTAGACCTTGTTCACCATGCCTCACGGTAAGAAGTTCCTCACTCCTCGGCGAACTGGGACACTTTTATTCCCCAGTGACAGTTCTAATACAGATGGAAGTTCCAGTGAAGATGAGTTTCAAGGTTTTGATGAGGTTGTGACTGAAACTAATGACCATAATACAGGTAATAGTGAGGAAAACCCAGATGACCCTCAGCCTTCCACCTCTGGTGCTGGGCCATCTTGTTCATGTTCAGTTGTACCAGAATCAAAGAGGAAACTCCTATTTTCCCAAATCCTGGACTCAGATGTGAGCACTTGTGAAGATAGTGATAGTGAATATGAACTACAAGCTCTTGAAAACAGTTCCAGTAATGATAGTGAAGTGGAATATTCTCCAGTGAAGCGTCAGTATATACGACAATATATGCACTCTGGTAGTGTGCCATATGCTATTCTAAGGGGAAGGAGTACATCTCGGAGTACATCCCATGGCTGTACAACAGGAACAGACAGTGAAAATGAAGATGATAGTGGTGCACTTGGGATGGAAAATGTGCATGGTGGTGGTAGTGGTGGTGCTGGCCATGAGGCACCAGCAGTGGGCCATGCTGCCACCCATGCCACTGCCTCAGCTGATCTACAACAAAGGCCACCATCCCCCACCCACCCACCACACCAGCCTCCACAACCACAACCACAACCACCCGTCAGTATCCAGTACCCACCAGTAG